CAAAATATTTAAAACCCTCTGAAAAGCAGATCTGATGGACCATTTTTTAACCAAAACACCTCTGCTTATGTAGGTGAGACCAAGCTCAGGTTATTCCAGGTTGTTCTTTCTCCCCCTACCCATGGCACAGCAGGATGTGCACCCTGTGCTGAGGCTGTTAATTAGAAAATCCTCACCTTAAAATAAACAAATTCAACAACAAAAAATTAGAAAACTTTGTAGCAATTCTATTTTGTGGCACTTTTCAGCGTCAGCAGCAGCCTCTGGACTGATTGTTCTGGGAATCAGCATCACGAAACTCATACCCTTTGCCCCCGCCTCTCGGAGGGACCTCCGAAATGTCAGATTTGTATAGCGCCCTGCATAGCCATCATCGTTGCTTTTCTGGTTGAGTAATGTCCCGGCATCAGCCCATACAGAGGGGCCGGCAGGGGAGTCCCGGGGTCACAGCATTATCACACCAATGATTTCAGAGCAGGGGGGATGCGTGGGAAATTCCCCAGGGACGCTGCAGCATCCCCGGGGGCACCGGGGAGGACCCACCATCACGTGTGGCATCGTCAGCCATGGCACGCGCTCCTCTATGTGTTGGAGGGGTGGACTAAAAAGTCCGGGATTTCTCAACCCACAGCGGGCCAAAAAACCACCCCAAAACTCCTGCACATTAGCAAGCTAGCCTGAGGCTAGCTTCGGGCCGAGGGCCTGGTGCTGCCATGCAAAGTGAGTGAGTTTGTCTCCATAATTCACCACAATGGTAATGTTACGCTGCCAAGCAGCTGGTTTGCTTTATCTGATTTCTCAAAACGTGATACCGAGTTTCTGTCTTATGACCATTCATAACTATAAATAGTTTGTGTTTGTGTTATTAGACAGAGTGTTGATGCTAAATCATGGCAAAAGCAATATTCTGCAGAAGAGCCACATGCCCCACTAATACCAAAACCAGAAAGAAGAAACTCATCAGAACAGCCCTTGTGAAATGACCTGTTCAAGGCAGGAGTTGCTCAAAATTGCCCCTGTAGGATGATCAAAAAGGAAGGCAGGGCAAGAGATGTTTGGGTAAATCAAGAGGGACTATATACTTGACCAATTCTGCATACTTTTACCTTCTTGGCTTTCCTGCAAACACACTGTGGTCTTCAGAGCAAGCCTTGTTCATCCTCCCTGCTCACTTGGGGCACACATTCCCTGCTCCTCGAAACACCGGTGCTGAAAGCTCTTCGGTTTCTGTATGGGCAGAAACAGGACATGGCTGTGAACATCAGAAAATCCTCACTAACAACTTTATTTTAGGAGAAAAGGAAACAACCCCTTCATCTGTAACTGCTGCCCTGCAAAGCGAGAAACCCCCTCACACGGACAGGGCAGCACCGTTTACATAGAAGATGGCCTGATGCCACGTCGATGGGCTTGTGAGAAGACCCAGTGATGAGAGGCCACCCTGAAATCCAAGGGCAGAGTATTAAATACAGATATTATTCTCTATCTGCCTTACGCTTACAAATATTGGGAGGTTTATGTATACAATTTAAAAAGTGCAACTATTTATCAGTTAATTACTGAAACATCTACAGATGGGAGGAAGTCTCCATCACTTGAAGCTTTTAAGTCAAAATTCCAGCTTGATTTAGACCAAATGGAAGTTTATGGTTGGACTCGATGATCTCAGAGGTCTTTTCCAACCAAATGATTCTGTGATTTTGGACCTGTTAAGAAATTCTTATGTAAGGCTGTCTCTTTGTCATACTAGAAGTCACATTAGAGGTAATAATAATATATTCCGCTCATGATTAGTATTAGATCATCTGGACACTTGGATGTTACAAGACAAAACAGTGACATTGGTTAAATTTCCAAAGAGTAATTTGGGATTTACCTGTTGAGGCCGATGTGAGTCACATTGCAAAGTCTGACGAGGGTGCTTAGAAAGCAGGTTTCCAGAAGTGAAAAATCTGACGTCATGCCTTGCAAGCAAAAAAACAACTTAAAAAAAAAGAATAAAGCAGTCCACTTAATGCTTCATGCATCAGGAACTGTTAGTCATCAGTGATGGGGCTGCCGAGAGAGCAAACGCCATGGCTACAAAACTGTTCCTCACGCAAGGTGAATGAAAGGCCACCGAGTCTCAGCTTCCCCAGAGCGTCACTGACAGCAGATCTCCCCAGTCTGAAGGGATGAGAAATGGGGAATTTTTGAAAAGGAAAGAAACAAACACACCATTATGATAGCCTGAAAATCTAGGGGATCCTCCAAGCTATATCGAGAACAGATCGTTCATAAAATACACAACATTCCTTTGTCTGAAAGCAATGAGAGAGGCCAAGAAGGCAAAAACCAAAAACTTGCCCACACAAAAGTTTGTTAACATAAGAAAAGCTACACAATAGGCAGCCCCTTTAATAAGAAGCGTGAGATGCCACCTTTTTCTGTAGGATGGGACCCCTGGAGGCCACTGAGCCCAAGCCCATGCAGGGTCAACCAGTGCAGGTCAACCCAGGACCACGTCCAGGACAGACTTTTCCACATGCCACGCTATGAGGGAAGAGCATTTACCTAAATGCTTCTGTTTTACTGCAGAAACGCAACTCTGCTGTCTTGCTGAGTATTTCTGGTGAATGTGCAGCTCTTAGAAGTTTGTGAGAGGTGAGGTAAAAGTGCATGAATGGCTTTTGAGTAACACACTTTCCTTCCTGAAATCATCTTCTTGGCAAATCTGAAAGCTGTTTCCTAAAGGTTTAGAAATACACCCACATCCCCCGGACACTCTTTAGGAAAAGGTACTGTATTCATTCATGCAACTGCCTCGCTGTGCTGCGGAGAGAGCGCATTTCCACAGCAGTAAGCAGGCGTGAGTCAGACCGAAACTGCGCCGTCAAGATCTCTGACATGGCAAAGGAAACGCAGGTAAACACAGCGCAGCAGCATCCGTGCACAGGCCAGAGTTTCCTCTGTGGAATGGACACATCTGGCTTACGCTCGTAAGCAAAAAAAAGCAACACTAAAATAACAAACCGAAGCAGGTTCCAAAACAAGGAGGAGGGA